ATCTATCTATCTATCTATCTATCTATCTATCTATCTATCTATCTATCTATCTATCTATCTATCTATCTATCTATCTATCACAAAGCTTCACCACCTCTGTAACCTACTGTATATTTCTCAAGCTTCACCACTTGAAGATGGGGGGACTTCAACTCCCAGAATTCCCCATGCTGGCTGGGGAATTCTGGGAGTTGAAGTCCACCCATCTTCCAGTTCTACAAGACTGAGAAACATGGCTGTAATGTTGGATTCTGCTCCAAGGGTTTCTCTAGGAATTACCTGGAGGACTGAGGAAAAGAGGCAGTGACTCCCATCCTGGGACGATTAAGATCTTAGGGCCTGGTGGGGGAATCGAAGAGGAGTTCTGGATAGAGTGCAAGTCGATGAAGGCAACCGATGGGTGAAAAGATGGTTGAGAAGGAAAATCGGCCAACAGATACACGCTAAAGAGAGGAAGATGAATTGAAGGATGTAGAGTGTGGCTGAATCCTTCTCTCTATGGAAGAGAATCCTTTGGTCCTCCTGGCTAAATTCCCTTCCCTGAAGTTATCTGGAAAACAACCAATAGAGCTGGAAGGGATCTTGGAGGTCTTCTAGTCCAACCCACTGCTCAAGCAGGAGACCCTCGACAATTTCAGGCAAGGGACTGCCCAGTCTCTTCTTAAAAACCTCTAGTGACGGAGGCAGCCACAACTTCTGGTGGCAGGCTGTTCCACTGGTTAACTGTCCTCACTGTTAGGAAGTTTCTCCTTAGTTCCAGATTGCTTCTCTCCTTTAGTTTCCACCCATTGCTTCTTGTCCTACCCTCAGGTGCTTTGGAGAATTGCTTGATTCCCTCTTCTTTGGGGCAGCCCCTCAAATACTGGAAGACTGCTATCATATCCCTCTCCAGTCCTTCTTTTCTCTAGATTAGCCCAACCCAGTTCCTGCAACTGTTCATTGTACGTTTTGGTCTCCAATCTTTTCAGAAGCATACAATTTGTATGATCTGCTTAGATTAGATTAAATTATCTTCAGTTGAATTAAATGATCCAGCTCCCTAAAAAGCAGAGACATCACTCTGCCAACAAAAGGGTGCCTAGCCGTGGCACGACAAAACCGCGCTCGTCAAAAATAGTGGTGATAAAACCGCGTTGCTAAAGCCGCGACGTCATCACCGCCGCGACAACAGCGCGGCGACAGAAGGGCGCTTTAAAACAGCGC